ACAATAAAAATGCGTCACATCTGTTTTGTTTTTGTCCAGCGCATATTAGGTTCCAGTTCACTATTTTAGTGGCCTGCTTTTTCAAAGATTTTGATCAACTCCAAGATTTCCTACTAATTAGAATTTTAAGCTCAACCAATGGATCAGGGTGGTATCTAAGTTTTTTCGGATACGGTAACAGAATGGGCTAATAGACCAAAGGGGATCGTTTTGGATTGCCAGTATAATCTAACATAAACTAATTTACACGCTTTCATTTTATTTACATAAGCCTTCTGCCATAAACAGAATTATTCTATATAAGATTTCATGCGTATGTACTCCAAATAAGTACCAAAATTAGAAGAAAATTTATTTATGAAAATTATTTAAATTTTTTTAATTAAAATTTAAATTGAAAACATTTGAAACTCAGTTAAGTATTTTCTTAACTTTTGCTCAAAACGGTTCGAATGGTTCAATTCGATTGGGTAAATGGAAACTGTGAACCGCATAAACGCTTGTCAATCTAATTGAAAAGGAGAAAATCATGTGAATTCCTGATTAAGTAACTTTTTTTATATTTTTGACTTGTTCATTAAAAGTTTTTCAAATGCTTTTGGCAAATATGTTACTTCAAACATTTTTAATAAAATTTTCAATTTTCTCCGCAAATTTTCCATTTTATTTGCTGTTGTAAGTTGAAGTCTTTAAATGTTAAAACTTTGACATGTTTGAAAGATTATAAAACGGTGGGTGGAGGAAGGTATGGAGGTATGGAGGTATAGAGGGGAAAGGAAATACGTTAAGCACAATACAAGAAGAATACACAAAATTACAAAAGAAATAGAGGAAACGGAAAAAAGAACTTAACTTACATCATTACATTGGCATCGTTAACAAAGTCGTTACGTACGCAATATCCTGCAGACAGGATGATTTACTTAAATTGTTGTTTCACTGAAGTTGAGCTCAGTATGAGTGAAGTAAAGTGCAAATGCAATTTAAGTGAGGGAAAAAAGTCAAATGATTGCGCTAGCAAAGCAGTAAGAAAAAATTAAAACTAAATTGCATATGCAAGGATAATTTTTTCCATACCATACAAACCATACCATGTGCAAGGGTAAATGCACTACAGAACAAATCTAAGCAAAAGGATGGAAAGCAATATAAGCAATGGACAAACCGAAGCATGTTTTTTGCACTCAAAAAGATTTGGAAATTTCGTTTTGGCAGACATATACGAAGTTTGCATAAGTAGCATCCTTTTTTGCGTGCACAAACTGCAGTATTTGCTGTTAATTTTTTCTCACTTGACATTTTAAACTACTTTGTGAAGATTGCTTTTGTCAATTAAGTACGTCGTACTTTACAACCAAACAAAGTAAGCCAATTGCAAATAGTGCCTTGCCTAACGTAGCTCTCAATTTGTGTTCACATAGATCGACTGTAAAATGTCGCCATTTTGTTTGGAAACCACACAGCACTTTTACACACAGCACTTTTACACACAGCACTTTTATTGTCCTTATGTCATATACTTGACACAATTGTGTCCTTCAGCCCCGCAAATGTGTTAATAAAAAATTGATTCAATAAAAAGTATTTCCGCAAAATACAAAACGCAAAATGGCGGCAAATTATAGTAAAGAAATAGACACTTCTACCATTTGTTGTGGCTCTGAGACACATAGTCCCAGATCCTGTATTAAAATCCTTAGGCGTTTGTGCGCTTTTCACAGCACATTTTTTACCGTTCATCCTGCCTTCATCGATGTCATTTGGCCGCCTGTAGCCTGTCTCAACTGTTATTTGCATGCGAAACAAATCCTTTCTAAATATCAAATCCGAACACAATAGTCAAGCAGCAAATCTTGTCCTTTAAGTAAAATGTATGTGATTTGTTTTCCTCCACTTTCAAACTGTTATTATGCCGTTGTCCTTTTGTGGTCGTCACAGCACCAAAGCGCCAAATGTCGAGCATCAGGGGATTTGAAGTGGAACTATTTTTTATTTGTTTGCTCGTATTGAGTTACGACTACATTTTATTGTATATTGTGGCCACCAACGGAGTTTGTTCCTACATCCTTGCTTATTTCTATTTCAATTTTTTATATTTATATTTATATTTCTTTTGTTGTGGTTACTTTTTTTTTTGCACCGTCCCGGCTGTCCTTTTTTATGTTCATTCTAATTTTCTATTTATTTTTTATTTTATGTGTTTATTTATTTCTTTTGTACATTTTTAAAATTTCCTTTATTTAAACATTTATCTCGACTCCCAGAATTTTATATATCAGTGCCATTTTGTCTAAAGCTAGTTTCACTTGGGAAAGAGCATAGCAAGGATGCACGCGTCGAACTTACCGCAGCAAGGATATAGGATTCTTGTTTGCAGTTACGTACGCATATGCATTAGGAAAACGGATAATAAAGTTGTTTTGGAAAATTTGTTATGGGCGTTGTAGGAATCAGTTTTGCTCACAAGATTTTAGAAGTTCTTATTTAATATTGACAGCACCACAAAGAGGGCGCCACAAAGTCTTCAAATATTCTTTAAAATAAATAACCACAAACTGTGCATATTTGTAGATAAGAAAACTTAAACTTAAAATTCTTGACTTTTTAATATATAAACTAAATCAGATAAAAACCATTCTGATACACAATTTTCTTAGTAAACAATGTGCCACAATCACAATAAATGGGAAGTTGCAAAAAACTTTTCTAAAATGTTTCAAATGTCGTTAGAAAATAAATAAATAAATCTGAAAGAGGATTTTTTTGACCTCTAATTGACTAATTATCAGTTCAATAAAAATTGTACAATAGAAAGTAACATATACCATTAGTCTACAATAAGAATAGACAACCACAATAGATTAGCTCGAAAAGCATTAGGTGAAGACTTAAATGAAACTAATGAAATGGATTCTAGATTTTTGATTGATGTTCTCCACAATAGAACGTAACATATCAGATTAGTCTATAATAACAATAGACTACAAAAATGGATTAATTAAAAGCGCAACGAATGAGGAATGAAGGAATAATATCGTCTTTAATAAGTAAGATGGAATAGGCTAATGAAATGAGTCTTAGATTTTTGGTTAAGCTTTTCCGTAATATAATATAATATATCCCATTAGTCTATTATTACAATAGACTACGAAATGTATTAACATAGAGCACCATTAGTGAAGAATGAAGGAATAATTCCTATAAATTTTTAATAAGTAAGGTGGGATAGGGAAATGTATAGAGTTCTAGATTTTTAATTAAGGTTATCTGAGTTAGAACGTAATATATCCGATTACTCTATAATAACAATAGACCACAAAAACGGTTTAACATAGAAACCAACATATATAGAATAAAGCAATAATTCCTATATTCCTTTAACAAATAAGGTACAATAGAGCAATTAAATGGATCTATTTTGAAAAGAGTCTACAATTCAATTCAACTAATTAGAGCTGTTCATAAAGCTAATAGTGTCTCATGATTTCAAATTGCAGATCTCAATCCTCTCAAGATAAATCGAATAAATGTACTCGACTCCTAACAATCGAGTATCTTTATGAAGTCAATACAGGTTTCCTAGCAATCACAGACGATAAGCGATTAAGGTGGATGGAATTTTCACTTTGGTTTTCATAGAATCTGAAGATATCGGTATCTTTTAGTTCTATAATTGAAAGGCGGTTGTAAACAGGAATATATTTGGTTAGTAAACCAATGTTTAAAATAAATAGAGTTCTATGTGGATTGAGTAAACTGTCATTATTATGAACTATTACTTTTATTGATTATAGCTTTTTGGACTAGCTAAGGTTTTTAGAGTGAACCCACTTTATATATGTCATGTATGTGTCTTAGTACTGAATTAATCTGACAGAAAGATATTCCATAAAAAGATTCGGGCCCTATAAAGAGTGTTACTGCACTCTTCTTTGTAAGTCTTTCAGCTGTGTTGTAACTGACGAATCTTCTTTGATCAAAAAATCGCTTATCAAATGTTTTTGTATTTAAGGAATATAGTGATTTCAGCATTATAGTGATATTGTGCTACGAACTGGTTAAGTACTTTTTGTAGTAGTTAGAGTATAAAAAAAATATAATTCATATATTAAGCTAATTAAATCACACATTGATATTATCTGCATTACAACGTGAGCTTACTTAAAAAAAATTGATCAGCTTTGATGAAATGAAAAAAAATCGAAGTCAAAGTTCCAGTCAACTGCACTGAAACATAAGAACAGAAAACAATAAAAAAGAAGTACCAGCTAGCTGCACTAGAAAACTATAAAAAAATTAGATAAAATCACAAAATGCTGGCTAATAGCACTAAAAAGCGTAAAATGAAAAAATTAAAGAATTGCACTAAAAATTTCTATAGAAAGTCTCTGGATAAAAATTTCAATATGAAAAAAAATTTTTTTTTGTATATAAAAATTTTATTACATTAATGAAAGGATGACTATACTATGATGACTATAGTATGTATTTGACTGTCAATGAGCTTTTCGAATGTTTGCAGCTGTATGGACTCGTATAAATGCAGCAATACCCAAGCCTGCACAGAGCAATGTAACTTGTGTCCGACAAATGCAAATTTCTTTTTACAATTCTGATCATATCCTTTGAACATTCGCTACTGGACTTTGACAAATATGGGAATACAAATGTTAAAAAATTATAGTAAAAAAAAAGGAGAATCAGAAAAAAAAGAGAACAAATTTTAAAAATTGTTGCAAATAGTTTAGCAAAAAATGATATAAAATTTAATCGAAAGTTTTGCAAGGATTTCTTCTGATTTTTTGACATTTGTGTGTCCTTTTGCCGTCATTTTTAGCTGAAAATATACAATTTTATGCTATTCCAGTTGGATTTTCAACTTTTACTTTGGA